GCACACTATCAATTGTGCGATGTTAGCCCAAACACGGAGCACCACAGGTTTGTCAATTTTTCAAATCCTCTATCTCGATCTGCTACTGCCAAATCTCTCAACAATATGCCAATCAGTACCGTATGTGAGCATACATGCGGATTCCCAGAGAAACTTCACCACACGCTTCTAATTCTTCATCAAAAAGCTGTTTGAATGCTGCACGGGTCATATTTCAGGTCCTGGCTTATGCATGTGGAGATCTTGACACAAAGATTGAATGCACTCTCTATTCAGGACTGAGGACTCCAAATCAAAGTGGGGATCGGAACCAGGGAATTAAATTCCACGACAAACACAACTATTCCCAGTTTTTGAACCAAGAGAGGAGTTGATTGTTGAAGATCATTCGTGAAGTGCGAGCGTCGAGATGGGTCCCCAAGTTGTGAATGTAGAAGGCATCGACTTCGCTACCAAGTTTACTGCCATGGGCTTCTACGCAGAGCCAAGAATCAGCGAGCCTTTGCAGAAGTGGAAGGGCAAGGCAGCCAGTGAGCTTGTTGAGGACGACAGTGACTTTCACAAGGAACTCATCCAAGCAACCTGCGTTGGGAAAGGGAGAGAAGGAAGGGGACCAGGATCCATGTTGAGACAAAAGAAAGATGCCCAAGCTATGTCACTATTACCGCTTATTGGTTTTGCTCCAACAAAACATCTGTCACGATCCAAACTTCAAGATTGGATCAATATCAATCTTATTGAATTAATCATAGTAGCATTATGGATCAAAATGCTCCAACATGGGTGTTTTGTGTTGACATTTGTTTTTAAAATCAGTGCAAAAGAGGCTCTAATCCAAAGCCCTCTATACTTTAGTACTCACCTCCTCTATTTGCAACCTCATTTTCATCTGCAAATGTCAATAGGAATCAAAATCTCTTTATGGATTCAATTCCCTAAATTTGACAATATATTCTATAGAATCCTATTCTTAGTTTGATTCTAAATTGGGAAGATTGTTGGATTGAGAATTCAAAGGAACTACCTTAAAAAATCATCTACAATCCAATTATATATATTAGTATCCAAAATTAAAAAAATCTCTTCATCCATTATATTGTTGATACCATTTATACTAGAAGAAGTAGAAATTCAGGTTGAATAGTATAGTATTACTTGCTTGAGCCTCTTCTTCTTAAAACTTGAACACAAGGCCACATTCTATCATCAAAAGATTTGTTCGCAATCACGGAGGACTAAATCCAATTGACAACCAATGACTTTGCTCTATATATACATTATTTTAATAGCAACAGAATAATCTATGAATAGTCTTGCAATATAAGAAAATCCCATCAACATTCAAGAAACCAAATAAATAGCCTTGAAAGTCTTAGATACTCTTGTATTGTATGCTAGACATACAAACTAGTTATTCAAAATCTCCATTTTACATTCACCCTAAGCGGACTTGGAATAGCAAGTGATTGGCAAAAAAGAAAAGATAGTAAAATTTCTATACATGGATGGATATGATTAACTAATATCATCTTCAAACCAAAACAAAATTTGGTTTCATCAAGCTTATTCAAAATACAAGTATGGGAGCTCTTCAACTTTTCATGTACTTCTAAAGACATTAAAAAACATCTACAAATTTGGCCTATTATTTATATATTCAACTTAAATTAATACAAACACTATCTTAGTATCACATTAATGTTGAATGTCTCATATTTTATGTACTAAAAGCTATGACTTATCCAATTCTTAACTAAGATATGAGAAGTATCTTTCTCTTGGCTTTGAGCACATTTTGTTTTCAATAAATGATGTCCATTTTATTTTCATAATACATCATGTTTTCGTAACATGATATCAGAGCTGGATAGACAATGCCATAGTTAAAATTCATTGGACAAAATTTAGATGAAAAAATTGGATGTTTTTTGTAGATAAAAATTTAGATGAAAATTTATATAGATGATCTACTTACTATTGGAGCTCCATTGCTATTGAAATACTACCAAAATCAAGAAGTTGCTAGAGTTTTTCTAGAATTGTTGGAGCTATTGGAGTTGGAGCTAGAGTTTAATTCTATTGATGTTAATTTTTATTTAATTAAATTCTATTTGCTATTGGCAATGAAACAAGTTTTTTTGCTCTAATATAGCTTTGTACTACTACTTCTAAAATATTGTATTTTGTAGACTATTTCTTAATTGTTCCTTTATAGTTAATTGTTGTTATTTCATTAATTTTATTTGGCAATGACATCTTCTTTAATAGATCATTACATTGATCGATTAGATGAAAAAAACTATGGCACATGGATATTCATTATAAAATACTTGATACACATTTGTAAACTCTACATGCATGTAGACAGGACATTAAAATGTCTTATAGGTATTGATGAAAAATTAAAATGGAAATCAAGCAAAGCAAAAATACAAGCATTGATTGTAGTTAATGTTAAGCCTTTGTAATTAACTCATATACACAAATGCAATATTGCAAAAGAAATTTAGAATTTATTGGCTAAGATCCATAAGTCCTCAAGAATTATTATTGAGATATTTTTAATGAAGGAATTGCATAATCTTTGATATGTAGATGGAGAATTTATAACAAAAAAAAAAAAAAAAAAAAAAAAAAATCTTAAATAGATTTTTGATCTTAGATATCAATATATTAAAGTTAATGGTGAAATGGACAAACAAAGTATGGCATTTTTTATACTTACTACATTACCAAAATCTTAAAATCTACTTGTTTAGTCGATTGTATTAAAATAAAAAAAAAAGAGATCACAAAAGAAGTTGGTCAATCTATTTTCTTTGAGGACAAGATGCAAAGAAAGGAGAAAATTAATTATCTATTTTTTACTTTAGCAATGCATGTAAAAAAAGTAAGTATTAAAAAAATACTAACTATAATAAAATGAAAAGCCTAAGATTGATAAGTATAGAAGTACTTCTAGGACTAGTGGACAAAAAGGATATTGATAAGGTGATGAAGAATGTCCTCAAACAAATAGCAATATGTTGCTTATAAGACTTGGAAAGAAAAGGCACAAAGAAGAACTTGAAGAAAGATAATTTTTTTTTTATTGATTAAGGTACTAAATTCTTAAATAATAAGTTTAGTTTTTAATTCAAAGCTAAAGATATTTGGCATATGATCACTTCAACATATACATATGAAATTGTTGATATGGCAAGACATATCATA